TTAAGGAAACTTTTTTCTTAAAACTTTCTTAGAAACTATGCTATCCCCATTTACCCCAAATTTTAAATAACAACTTAAAAAAAAAAAACCTGCAAATATTACGTTTTAAAGGAAGAAACTTACGTAATTTGTTAAAAAATAGCGATTTTATCCCTATTTACCCAAACTGACCCTATACTGACAAAAAATTTATTTGATTCAAATAATCTGTTACTTGACTATTATCAAATAAAAATTTACTTGAACAAAATAATTTTTATTTGAATTAAATAAACATGTATTTGAAACAAATACAAATACATTAATTGAATCGCAAATAATAAGTATATTTGAGACAAATAATTATTTGATAATACCCAAGTAACAGATTATTTCCCTGGCGGATTCGATTTGCGTAATGTCTACTTAACTAAGTGGAGTTTAGGTAGACATTAGGTAAACATGTAAAAAAACGTATAGAAAAGCTATTAATCGACTTATTATGATAAAAAAAAGTTGATAAAAGGGTAAATGAATGTTTATAGAGTAAATTCGTACAAAATTTGTAATTAATAAAGCATTAAATAATTAATAATGAATGGAAATGTGCGCGAGGTACCTGATCAGTTCAGCTGTACAATTATTGTCGTGCTATTTTCATGAAAAGAATATAAATTAACGGCAAAAACAATTGATATTTATAAAAAAGTGTAAAATTGATTTAATTTGAGTGTTTGCAATACGAATTATTAAATAATAATTAAGTTTTTATCAAATGTGAATAGTGTTGTAAAAACCTGTGAAAACTAATGAGTTACTACATTACCGATCGCATATGATAATAAAAAGTTCTCGATGAGTGTAACAAAAAAGCTCCAATTTAACCAAGTACATAATTTCCGAGATTGCCAGAGATGGCGCCACCAGTTTTTACAATACAGTGCGAGCATGTTTTCTTCCAAGCTTTTGCTTTGAAAGAAAATAAAAAGTGAATTTTAAAATGCAGAATAAAGTTATACAAATAATTATTGATTTCATAATTGTTTCTCGTCCAAAATTACGGACATGATTGCAGCTTTTTTGTTACACTCATCGAGAACTTTTTATTATCATATGCGATCGGTAATGTAGTAACTCATTAGTTTTCACAGGTTTTCACAACACTATTCACATTTGATAAAAACTTAATTATTATTTAATAATTCGTATTGCAAACACTCAAATTAAATCAATTTTACACTTTTTTATAAATATCAATTGTTTTTGCCGTTAATTTATATTCTTTTCATGAAAATAGCACGACAATAATTGTACAGCTGAACTGATCAGGTACCTCGCGCACATTTCCATTCATTATTAATTATTTAATGCTTTATTAATTACAAATTTTGTACGAATTTACTCTATAAACATTCATTTACCCTTTCATCAACTTTTTTTATCATAATAAGTCGATTAATAGCTTTTCTATACGATTTTTTACATGTTTACCTAATGTCTACCTAAAGTCCACTTAGTTAAGTAGACATTACGCAAATCGAATCCGCCAGGGATTTAATCAAATAAATTTTTTTTCATTGTAAACACCCTATGGGAAATTGCTGATGGTTACGATTGGCATAAAATAATGGGCCAAGGATGGTTCAATATCTTTGTAGCTAGATTGATATTTTAAGGCGAATAATTTAGTTTTAGAATTCTATATTAAAATTTAAATATTGAGTACTAGGATTTTGTATTGAGTCCTAAAAGTCTGTGAATACGAATTCAGGATGAAATTTGATCAAGTATTCTAAAACTGTTTGGGATTCAGTCCAAAAGTTTTCGAAACAGTATAATCGACACTTGTTTACGTTCATAATTTTTTGTTAATAAAGTCTAAAGCTACTGGTTTATTACGTTCCAAATTTCTACTTCTAAATACAAAACTTTAGGACTCTTCTCCTAAAATTCATCGTGGATTCGCATTCCTCAATTATTAGGACTGAATTGATAATTTTCAAATTTCATTTTTTTCCGTGAAAGAATTGGATTTTTAAATAATCTCAAAGTTTTAGGTATATTTTTAAAAATAGTATCAACCCTATATTTACAACGAAAAATAAAGTATTATTATAACATCAAAAAATGGTGTTAAAACATTATAAAACACTTTTAAGCTATATGTTCTTATGATAATAAAAATCTATTGTTTTCTTATGTTATGTTTAACATATAAGTAATATAGAAAAAGAATCTATTGAGGACTTAACACCAATTGAATAGGCGCCACTGTCTGATGGTTATAAAATAACAAAAAGAACACATTTTTTCCTATGTATAAGAATATTAAGAAAATATTTTTGGTATTCTCAACATTGCATTAACAACTTTTATTCTTCCACTAATAGATTCTAAAAATTGCCAGAAACCGATTAAAATCAATTGACCCATTTTTAGAATCATCATTATGGGTCTGATTCATTCAATATATTTTGGATTTAATTTATCTAAACTGAAATGGATTGAATCACAGTTTCAATGAGATTTCATAAGGTTTTACAGAATTCTATTGATTATTTTTATGCTACCAAATTATTTAGTTTACCATATGCACATATAGTATAAAAATATTAAAAACATTTTAAGTGGTATATACCAAAATAAATTGGTCCTTTTAAATGGCTTAGTACTGAGCTTAGTATTTTACAAGAAAAGTGCTCGAAAAAATTAACATTGTGGACCTAACAATCATATGCTGTTAAGTGATACCAAAACATTTAATTTTTTAAAGGATTCCAATAAGTATATACGTAAATGACATCCAATATTTTGGTACTATTATTATACTCAGTACCATCAAAGATAGTACTCCGTACAATCTGGATTGTATAACTAATAGAATCTAATAAGATCAAATATGGTACCTCTGATACTATCTAGATGGTACCCCCGCGTACCATCAATTTCTCTCCGTATTTTGGGACTTTTAACCCATGCGTGGCTGAGCTGGATCACTCGGACCCAGACAATTTTCTTTTTTATCTACTTTTATTTAAGAAAATATTTTTTCAAAATCGTTATCAAATTGGATAAGCTGATGCAATAACGTACATTTAAAAAAAGAATATTTTTTATGAAAAACTCTTTCTAATACATTATTTTATAGCTCTTTTTAAATGTATAATCATTTTTTTGTACAACTCGGTGTAATATACATATTATATTGTCCCTCACAACACAAGGATATTCAGGATATCCCTGGGACGTCCTGGGGATATCCATTTGCTTTTGGCGATTCGGATATCCCTAAGATATCCTCTGGATATCCTTGGACATCTCTAAGATATCCCAGGGATATCCAAACCGCCGAAAAAAAATCGATATCCCCAGGACGTCCCAAGGATATCCTGAATATCCTTTTGTTGTGAGGGGTAGTTCTGGTATTCGTGGTATTTAGAATTTTAAAAAATTCGTCTGCCATATTAGATCCTTCATTTTGAATTTTAAAAACGGACACCGGACTTTTCATCAGCGACTCCAAAAACCCCCGTCGAGTAATGATTTTCAAGCGAATATGTTTAATTTTTGAAAATTCGTCCACCATATTGGATCTGCCATTTTGAATTTTCCAAATCTGATGTCTGATTTGTAATCAGCGACCTCAACAACCTTAGAATACCCAGTAATACTCAAATTAAATTAATTATTTCTTTTTGGTGTACACTCAAATTCGCCCTGTTGAAAAAGCTGACACGCGACGCGACTTTTTGTGTGCCATTTATGTATACCCTAGACTGTCAAAAGATTAAATATTTTTTGCAATCATATTTGCAAAATATTACAATTATAATTTAAAATTAAAACATTGAATATCCTGCTATTAAATCTTGTTTTTTATGGAATTTAAGCAGCTGGGTCTCTCGCGCACGTCAAAAAATAAACTCAGGCCTGCGATAGGGTTAAACGGTTCCAAAATATTAGGTACCACCAAAAATACTGTATTTAGTTTATTTACTTTATTTATTATACATATTATTCCCCCACAGCACCGAAACTTTCTTAAAGATTTCCTAAAGATTTATTTGAAATGTTCGAAATATTTAATTGCAAAAGTTTAGTGAAAATTGTGTAAAGATTTAAATGTCCCAATAAAATAAATGTTTAGCGAGAAACTTTCCTGAACATTATTATTTAATCGGGACATTTAAATCTTTACACAATTTTCACTAAACTTTGCAATTAAATATTTTGAAAAATTTCATAAAAATCTTTAGAAAATCTTTAGGAAAGTTTCGGTGCGCTGTATAGGGGTTTTGGTAAGAAATTATTAGGAAAAATAATTTAATGGAAAATTTGTAATATAACATTAAATTGGTGAGAATTTTAAGACCAGAGTTTTTGTTAACAATCTTTTGGTTCACAAAGTACCAACATATTAGTATAGTACCAATGTATATACCATATACATATATAGTACCAAAGAGTATAACAGATCTTTATTAAAAATTCCTCCTAACATATCACACATTTTCATTTTTTTCAACATTCCTCTATACTTCATCTTCATCATTTTGCGGTTAGATATCCATACTATTGTTGATCATCAAAACAAAACAATTTCATTTCCCTGGAAATTTATCAAAAAGCATAATCACTTGATGTAAAAATTACAAATGTCACATAAATTCCGTCGCTTAATCAGCAAATCACAACTTCCGTCAAAGACAGCTCTCGAGAAATATATAATCTAAAAGGGTAAAAAGAGTATTGCTTCGACGAAACAGGTGATGCATATGTGATCATCAGAGAAAAAGAGAGAGAGAGAGACTGGTATATCAGAGACCACCAGATGCCCATTTCTTATCCCGCCCCTAAAGCCGGACCTGCCCATACTCTCACAAGTTGTAGCCAAAGGAGGATGGATGCTACTACTGGTGAGAAGAGTAGGGAAAGAGAAGGCCGCGGTAGTCCTACTCTCCTATACAAGTTGGTGAGATAAGGACAAACGGACAAACGGACTGACGGAATCAAAGGTAGGGGATTCAGTCTTGCAGCCACGTGCTACATGAGCGCACGCCCTGCTCACGTATACCGGCCGGCTCCATACAGGTCCGGAATCTGTTCCGTTTCCTCTTTTGATGCCAATTCCGCATCTATATATTATGATTATTTAACCACGACAATAATTATTTATTTAATATTATTTTGAATTTTATATAAAAAATAGAACTGTTTGTGTTTCATATATATATACATGAAAAATTTTTAAAATCGCGTTGTGAAACAGACATATTGGTTAGTGATAAAATTTAGTAAATCTTGATTGATTCAAGATCTATATATAAGCAGTGGACATTTGAATATCATTTGTTAAATGATAAAATTAATAAAAAAAGAAGAAGGAATAGTGTTTCTTTGGTGTTGATTCAGTGAACATGATGGATTATTGATATACATATTGGATTAAGTGAGTAGAGCTTTTCGTAGATTGTTATGCGGTTTTAATATCCATCAATAATTATTGATAATATTTTGAAACGGTATAAATGTTATTGTTTTTTATATTAATGTTGCCTTTTATCTATATTGGTAACTGAGGGAAATCAATCCAATCCACATCAGTGGAAGATACAAATTTTGATGTGTACCAATGTTGTTAAATTTGGTACCAATAATGTTGTTACATATATATATCAATATTCTTGGTACCAATGTTTCTATGTATTTTCCTGGTACTAATTTTACTAATATTCAAGATTCTAATCTTTTCCTAGTTGTTGCAATATGTTCTGTCTTATAGCTTTTCTAAATGGTACCAATATTAACCACAAATGTTAAATGTTGTGTATATGAATATTTCTTGTCAGCATCAAAATTATACTGCAGCAACACACTGCGCTGTTTTGAAGTATCATTCTTATAAAAAATTCTAAAATATGTGTGTCCAACCTCATGAAAAGGGACTATACTTTAGTTTCTTTCATAAGAGCTATATATTCGCACTAATTTCACACAAAAATAATCCTTACAGAAAAGTCAACAAAGTTGATCCTTTTCATGAGGACGGCCACATATTATATATAGGCTTAATTCTTATATTGATATTTAACACAATTTGTTAAATGACTATATTGTTATTCCATTATTGTGTTAAAATACTACAGTAGTTTACCATAATTGTTTAAAATTAACATAGTTATTTGTACCAACAATGTTGTTGTACTCTATAAATTTGAATCAGCTAAAATCCGCTGTTTCGCAGCGAATAGTCGCTGATTGAAAAAGCTATAAGTATGCAGCTGCGAATCAGCGACTAACAACTATTTCAATCAGCGGAATACTCCATTTTAAAATAAATTTATCTTCCGACGAAAATGACCGACGTTCGCCGATTCGTGATTCGCTATTTTATTAGCTGTAACCGCTGATTTGCAGTAAAAACTTTATTCGCTGATTCAAACAGTGAAATTTTCGCTAATTCAAATTTAGAGAGTACAGGGAAAGAAATCTTGTTAGAATATTTAATATTTTGACACTCATATTTAGTATATTAAGTTACAATTGCGGAAGATTTTGCAGATTTTGGGGTGTTTATAGATTTCATTACTATTTTTTAAGAATGCCTAAAATAAAAATAATAAAGTTTAATATATTTAGAAACAGAAATTAGAATAGTTTTTGCGAAATTCATGTTTGCATTATGAAAACTCCAAATGTTAAATTCTAATACGCCCTGTAACAATAAGTATTAGAATAAAATATTTCCTTTTCTGTATTTAGAATTCCGTTAACTGGTATAATCATTTTACATTTTGATATAGTCGATAAGAAAGTGGATTGGTGTTAAATCCTCATATTTACATATAATACTAATAGAAACTTTTTCTTTCAAAAAATGATAGAAAAATATTAAAAATCACCCAACTTTGACGAAGTTAAGCGAGTGAGTCCGACCGGGTTTGACCGATCACTAACGAGTATAGTCACGAAAGAAAGACTCCCACTACCCTCGAATAGAAAAGGAGAGAAAATCTTAGAAAAGAGCCATTGGTGGTTCCGACGTTCTTCTTTTTTTAACGGCTCCTGTTTTTTCCTATAGTTTTTTCAATATTCGAAAATTGTAGATTTGAAATAAGAAATAATAATTTCAATTTTCGTAAAATGTTTTCAGTTAAAGGAATTCGTAAAACTATACCAACACTTTTATTATCAAACCAGAATGTTTCGCAATTGAAAAACAAAAATATCAAAATTTCTATTCAGATTTATTAAATATTCTAACAAGATTTCTTTTCGTGTACCGTTACATTATTATTATTATTTTTGTGATAAGCCATCATTATTGTATATGGTACCATCATATGGTACCAATAACGTCGTTCTTTTCACCATTGTTATTACCACTGTTATTTTGATCAATACTATTGATATTTTAGTGGTGCCAACATTATATTTCAATGGTACCATCATTATTATAAAATAGTACTATGATTATTCTGATGATAATCTAATGTTTTTCAATAATTTATTAATTTGATATTCATTTTAATAAATTATGCTAAAGGTATACGTCATGCCGTTATTCGAATGGTTATCGATATTTTAATATTTGTCGAATGGTACTATATATACTATATGTTTCAATGGTACCATATAGACACACTATTATAATGATATAATTATTGTCATTCCATTGGTATACAATCGCCTATTTTCTTGTACTATTGTTATATTTAAAACCCATTGTTTATTCTATGGTATCAGCATTAATTTAATGGTATTGTCGATTTTCTAATATGGTATATCATTGCTATATTAAATGACGCAATTGGTTTTCTATACCATTACCACTTTATTGATACAATTTATAATACAATACAGCTATTTCAATGACATATATATATTTAAAAAATATTCTATTACTATTTTCTGATACCGTCGTTATTACTTGATGATACTATAGTTATTTTTAAGTTTCATTAACTTGTAACACTATATCATTAGTTTATGCTAATATCGTTTCTGTATACAGTATCATCATCCTCATCATAATTATTATTGTATAAAATATACTGCCTCCTTATTCTCTTCGACCATGATCAATTTTAAGATATATCATATATATATATATACTTATTCTTTGGTATATAATTGTTGCTTTATGGTGTCATCATTATTATTCTATATGGTACCATTGTCATTTTATGGTATATATCATTATTATTTTATGATACCATTGTTATTCTGTAATACATACAATTGTTGTGGTACTACCTGCGGTAACATCATCATCATCCTCAGAATATATTTAAGTGATCTATTAACATTTCCAAAACGAAATTAAGTATTCAAATTGATCAAAATTCAAAGCATAAATATATATAGTTATTCTTTATGAATGTTGTAAAAGAGCCAATGTTTATAGTTTTACCGCATCAATGAAACATATATATATATATATATATGGTGTACCATCTTCTTTGCATCATTGTTATACAGCAAGTCGTATAATTATAAAAACTTCTCTTATATTGTTACTTTAAAATTTACATATATATATATATATAATTGCATATATTATAGCCAAAAGATCGGGAAATATACACGGAAAAAAAATGTCTTGTATTATCTATATAGGATCTCATGTGTTATCTACAAACTGGAGTTGCAGTCTCCACAAAACACCTGATTTTGGGAAATACACAAATTGGAATATTGTGAACAAAACAAAATTTTTTGGCGCACTCGAAAATTATTTGTAAAAAAAAACAGATTGTTTTGTAATTTACACAAATCTGCCGTGTTGGAAACACTATTTTCTTTGTACACTGATTTCCTAAAAAAATAACATGAGAAACATGAAATAAGTAGGATTCTATACTGATTGAAATAGTCAAATCTGTTTTACCAATTAATGATAATGCAGATTTGACTGTATAAATAATTAATAATTAGATTGATTTTTAAGTCAAATTTTTGTTACTCTATTATGTCAATAAGTGCACTTCATTAATTGGAGTCTTCATATATAACTGGAGAATTAATGATGATGTACCGTCGCATAGATTGTTTCTTTTTGAATAAATGAATGTTCTGATTGTTTTTAAGTTATTCGACTTATGTAAATATATATCTTTTAGTTTTCCTGATATGTCTTATTGACGCAGATAGATCTATTGCTTTAAACACAATAATGTATAGTCACGTTTCATGTCAAAAACAAAAGCGTTAAAAACGACAAATAGTTGAATAACAATTTGTCAGCAAAAAAAACAAAATACGATTATAGTTTCAGTTTGAGTGATTTTTCTCAGTTAATTTTTTCTTCGTATTCTTTTTTTTTAAATTTATTTAATATATTATGCATATTTCAATCTATGGCGTTCTTTTTAATATCAAAATTAGTCTATGCTAATTAATAAATATATTTGTTGGTAATAATTTCTACTAATTTGAATTAATGAACGAATTGTTATTAATTTAAATTTAGAGAGTGCAAAAATTTTTTCTGTGACTTTATGAAACTGAAAATAAGTTTAGAGTTATAAAAATTTCCTCAACTGAAATATATATCATTAAGAACCGATCGCGATTAACAAAGACCTATTGAGAATCGAAATATATACGTGATTAACTACAATGAAAATTCGACAGGAATAAGAGTCGAATAATATTTCTGACACCTTAACTCTTTGATGATTTTGATTTTGACAGATCCACTTTATTCTTCTTTTATATGAATTGCCATTGGTTTTTAATATATATAGCAGGAATGAGATCGCTTTCGGAAGATGAGATAAATTATATATATTATATATCCTATATATATATATATATATATGGATTCGAATTATTCTACATGGAATGCATTGAAAGTTTTGTTAAAGTTTAACGAACTAGCGATAGAGGAGTTTATGGTTTAAAAAAAAAATATATATATACATGTATTCTATTCGCGCGCCAACGATTAATTTGTCACGGAGCCGTGAACAACAATTTTAACTGTCAGCCGTCGATGATATCTGAGTGACGTGCCGTTCACAACCGGTTCATTAAGTTGCAGTCGCCATTCGATCGCTTGTCACTCATTGAATTCTGCAAACGATCACAAGAGAGAAGCTCACAAAATCGATTCGCATTTTTCTCTTTTCCGTCAGCTTCTTTTTTTTAAAAAATTACTTTACAAAACGTTCAATCATTATATGCAATCTTACAAGATATTCATACAACTAACATGTATATACAATGCAAGAGAGGTTATACTTTCTGTCAGGTGACTCAGCCTGGTATCATTATATTTTTGTAAATTAAACTAAAAAAAAAAAGTATTTCCCTCAATATATAAACGAAAAAAGAATTTTTTATTTAAATATAAAGATCAGTTTGAACGAATTATATATATATCAATCATTTAAAAATATTATTTAGTTTATGACTTTATTGAGGCTATCTAGGTTGATAATATAT